CAAAAGCTAGCTCAAAGGGAGGAGGATTGCCCAAGCCTTATAAGGAGTCCACCCATCTCATTAACCACCGATGTGGGACTTTTTGTCATTCTTTAACACTCGCAGTTGCTTCCTAGTCCAACTCTGGCGTCCTATTTCAGATACCAAGTGACCGAAAAGATTTGATAGATAAATCAAATGTTTCATCCGTAAACACATCATCGTCATTGACGTTTTAGACTTGAACTTTTGGGTTCTGGCGTTGCAGTAGTTGTAGAAAGGCCTAGGTCTGAAAGTAAAGTAAATTGTACTACAAATTTGGGCCCATTTTGTTCCTTCTGAAACACGTGTATGAATTTAATTTCATCATCTTCCTTTTCCTTTTGACACGTATTACATCTTTGTCTTTGTTAAAAACATTTGGTTTCCACCCAAAACACAATTCCAATATCTTTTCTACTTCTCTCACTATGTTATATGTTTTCCATGTAAAATTGATGTATTTCATCACTTCAAATCGGTTCTTCTTCAACGTTGGTCGGATAGCTCTTCATCATTATCTTGTACAAGTTAGATTTTTCTATTTTAATTAGTTGATTTTTTCGAAAATTTTATGGGTCCTTTATATTGAGAAAGATTGAATCAGGGTAAAGTTCCATAACTTATTTTGTATTACCAATTTAGTACTTCTCTCATTGATTTGTATCCATAGTTTGCACATCATTTTTCATGCATGTCTCTTTATTATCGTTTGAAGTTTTTCAACTTTATATTTGTTAGGAGACAAGGATTGTGAAATAGCTATTACTCTCTCCGTCCCATTTTATGTGCAACATTTGACCGGGCACGGAGTTTAAGAAATAAATGAAGACTTTGAAATGTTTATCAAATTGCCCTTTAAAAGTAGACTCACTTTTCTCTCTCCTCATAAATGTATTGGAGTACTGTTTTTAAGATTAAGTGGGATCAACAAGGGTAAAAGAGGAATTGTACCTTTAAATATTTACCATATAAGGAAATGTGACATTCTTTTTGGGGCTGACCAAAAGGAAATGTTGTCACATAAAATGGGACGGAGGGAGTAGAAATTACTGCAGGTGAGTGTTTCGACAATTCTTGCTCAAATTTTATTCTAAATTTTCTGAAAGTTGGACGCAACAAATGTATGTTGTAAGTCACTGTAACCCGCATTGAGTGCAAGACCTAGCATTGCAGGGGAAATAGTTGCTTCTAAACTCATAAATCCCCATTTTGTTGTGTATTAAGGTTGAGGGCTCATGTTGGAGCAGAGATTGCACTGTTGAGTTTTCTTGCTTGAAGTTATTTTGATTTATTTTCCTATCATGGACATAGATAAGTAACTTTCAAGCTTCATATCAGAAAGTATTCGAACTAATAATAATGATTATTGTTCAACAAATATTCAAAGGAACTTTGAGTGCACTGCCATTGTGTATTGCAGCTAATGAAAATGAATAGAAAATTTATGATATTTATATGTAGTTAGCTTTTTGTGAAGAGGCATATCACAAATTGTCCAATGAGAAAGCATATGTTTACATTCGTAGTTGCAAACGAGATCGACTTGGCCTGAGTCTTAAACAAACAATAAATTTTTTGACATAAAAACTAGAAAGTTCTAAAGATTGTTGTTTTATAATTCTAGCACTATAGCTAAGTGGTCAATAGCCTACGTCAAAGTGCCAAACTTTTTCATAGATTTGAGCTCTCGTGGAAAATCAAATATTATTAAGCTTTCTTTGTTTGTTTGTTTTGAAAAATGTGACCCTCTTTGTTTTATCTTATTCCTTGTGTTTAACTTCTTCTTTTGATAGAAAAGATGAGACTTATATTATTACTTTAGGTAATTGGTACATGGAAGCCAAAAGATTTGTCAACATTATACAAGATAGTTTAAGTACTATATATCTATCCTATTGTTGGTACTACATATTAGTAGTTGTTGATAAGTTTTCACAAATGTTAAGATTACAAAAAGAAGATGATCATGTTACATGACTTAACATGACATAGTAAGTGGTTTCAAATTCTTATAGGAGCATAATGCTTTTAATTAAAAAAATCGAGAAAGTGTAGAGAACACTCCTAAACTTGACAAAAATTTAAGGATATATTTCACTC